CACTGAAAAAAGCTTAATTCCATCTTTAAAGTTTTTTTTTTCCTTTTTTCCTTAAAAAAAATAAGTTGTTTTAGACCTGACAAATCACTTGCCAAAGGGAAGCAGCTGTTAAACAGAAGCAGTTGCTCAGTTATACAAGGGCAAAGAAAGCATCAGTCAATGAGCTTTAGAGGCTTTTTTAACGAAAGAGGGAAATTTCAAAAATTTTAGAAAAAGAAAGCATCAGTCAATGAGCTTTAGAGGCTTGTATAACGAAGGAGGCAATTTTCAAAGCTTTAAGAAACTCACTCTCAGGCTAAGGGTTGTTTGCCAGCTTTCAGCTGCATCAACCCCAGTATAAAGCTCCAGGGTCTCCTCCACCTCCCTGGGCAGCCTGGGCCAAGGCCTCACTGCTCTGTCAGGAAAGAAATTCTTCCTCCTATCCAATCTAAACCTCCCCTGGTGTAACTTAGCTCCATTTCCTTTCAGCCTATCACTAGTTGCCTAGGAGAAGAGACCAACCCCCACTTCACTCCGACCTCCTTTCAGAGAGTTGTAGAGAACAATAAGGTCTCCCCTCAGCCTACCCCAGGCTAAACAACCCCAGTTCCCTCAGCCACGTCCCTCTGACCCTTCACCAACCTCGTTGCCCTTCTCTGGACCTGCTCCAGTCTCTCAGTGTCTTTCTTAGCCCATGGTGCCCAAAATTGAACCCAGTACTCAAGCTGTGGCCTCCCCACTGCTGAGTCCAGGGGCACGATCACCTCCCTACTCCTGCTGTTTGCAGTTTCTGACCCAGCCCAGGATGCTGGTGGCCTTTTTGGCCACACTGCTGGCTCATGTTCAGCCAACTGTCCACCAGCACCCCCAGGTCCTTTTCTGCCAGGCATTTCCCAGCCACAGGTTTAAAACTGTATGCACAGAGATGCTGCTATGCCATCTATTGACAGCTGCAGAACCACTTAGGGATTTTATATCTATGTATTATGATTGGTAGACCTGTATTTTGAGGAGACTGGGCATGATCCACTGGGGCTGTGCCTACAGTTGAGGCTGGGTGGTGTACTGCTAGCCCTGTAAGCACCAGCCCAGGTGGAGCCTGAGCCAGCACTGAGCCAGAGCTGCTCTCTCCAAGGTGTGGAGATCTGTTACGAGCTCTACAACCCTCGCATCCAGTCCATCGAGGTTCTGAAGCTGGAGAAGAGGCTGGATGACAACCTGATGTACCTGAGAGATGCCCTCCCTGAGTACAGTACTTTTGATATGAACATGAAACCCGTGCCTCGTTTGGACCACGAAGAAGTTCCTGTAAACAAGGTAGGAGCCACGTGTGGAGGGTCAGCTGGGTAACTTTCATACCTGGCTGCTCTCCTGGCAGGCTGTTAAACACCTCTCCATTGCACTAGTTCCCAGGGTGACAAAAGGATACAAAGTAAGGCAAGTCTTTATGCTGCTTCTATAGTTGAATGTAAGTCTGTCAACCTCAGCAGTTAATTTGGATGTGCAAGGAGTCCTGGCTTCTGGGTAGCACTGCAGGCAGAGAAGCTTTTCTTACAGAAACATTACTGTTAATGGGGTTACTGCTTTGGGAGTGGTAGGAAAGAAGGTAAGGTTGGAAGAGTCAACTAAAATCCACCTCTGGGAGAAGATCCAGAAAAGAGCAGACCCTGCCTGAGTGTTGTCTAGTAACAGAGCTATCGTCCCTCCCCTTCCCTGTCAGCTTTTCCTTAGTAAGGAACAGTACTGGGGAGGGACTTTTTAGGATCTCAAGTAACAACAGGACTAGAGGGAATGGGGCAAAGCTGGCAGTGGGCAGATTCAGGCTGGATGTGAGGAAGAAGTTCTTCCCCAGGAGAGTGGTGAGACCCTGGAATGGGTTGCCCAGGGAGGGGGTTGAGGCCCCATCCCTGGGGGTCTTTAAGGCCAGGCTGGAGGAGGCTCTGGGCAGCCTGATCTAGTGGGAGGTGTCCCTGCTCATGGCAGAGGGGTTGGAACTGGGGGATCCTTGTGGTCCCTTCCAACCCTGACAGATTCTGATCTGTTTTGGCAGAGGACTTTGGAGCCCTGGTGGCTCGGTGGTTGGACTTGATGATCTTCAAGGTCCCTTCCAACCTAAAGGATTCTATGATTAACTACAAAAGATGGTGACTTCACTTTGTGTCAGTTTAAGGACTGTGTAATAAATCAAGACAGCGTTACTTAAAACGTTCTACAAGATGCTGTGACAAGTCCTGTGGACACAAAACATTCCTTTTCTCATAACTGAAGTAGAAGTTCATAACATACCAACAAGCAGGTCTGTTTTCTCTCACCTTCCTTCCCTTGGAGCAGCAGCTGTCTCACCTTTTGCTAAGCTCACAAAATTCAGATCATTTAACACCTTTTATTTCTTTTTTAAATCTTTCTCCCTAGCTGCAGGTACGAATGAAACCTAAACCATGGTCAAAACGGTGGGAAAGGCCAAAATACAATATAAAAGGAATAAAGTTTGAGCTCCCTGAAAAGAAAATGAAAGAAGCCCAGAAGTGGAGCCAGCCGTGGCTGGAGTTTGACATGCTGCGGGAGTACGACACTTCAAAAATAGAGGACAAAATCTGGAAAGAAGTGAGTGAAGCACTCAAAAAATAATGGGCTTTGCAGGCTAGGAATTACTGATCCTTGCTTTGAATTTGCTGTATGGATGATCCACTGTCAAATTTTGTATATACATAGGCAAAATAAAGTTCTAATTCCCAGAACATTTTGGAGTGTGCAAACTTTGGTGGATGAACACCAACGTTCTGTTCCTGAGAACATCTGCTGCTGTCTCTGGGGAGTTCAGCCCTGCTGCAGAAATGAGAAGCCTTTCAAATGACAGGCACTCTGAGTCAGTTGTGTTGCCCTTACCAAAACACTCCTGTTACTTCTCTCTTCTCAGACTAGGGCTGAACTTGTTGATGTCTAACTTCAGAAACTGGCTGTAGGCAGGAAGATGTGTCTGAGCCACCCCTGCACTCAGAGCAAGGGCTGTTAGTTTCCCATTAAAAAAAGTTTGATAGAGCAGCAATTCCAATGAGAGCAGAAAATACAAATACTCTGAGGTCAATGTTAAACCAACTGGCTCTGGTCTTCAAGCCAAATCACATGGATTAGTGTCAGGTCCCCAGTGAAGTACTCACAAAGCATCAGAAGGTTCCTAGTGTGGGGTTGGCTGGTTGCATGAAGCTGATTCCATTCTGAGCTCCAGTGTTAATGCCTTCCCCTGCTCACAGGTCATCTTTCTTCCACAAAGAACCATCTACAGCCCTAAATTGTGATAAACATCTCTTATTCTTTTATAACAACATAAAGCTTGTTACTTCAGGGAGACTTTCAGCTGGGATGAGACAGAGAAAAGCAATAATATCATAAGCCTGTGGTGATTGCTGATCAGCTATGGCATTTTTGTTGGCATTTTGAAGAAAGCAACAAATTCATTATCCTTAGAAAGCAGGATTTGCAGCCCAACTCCTGAAAGTAATGAAGGCTAATGGTGTCCCAGGTTTTTTTCCATACTTCTCATTCCTATTCTTGTCACATGTTAAAAGAACTGAACTACAGGAGTCATTAACACAGCAAAATATTTGTATTTACTTTCAAAATCCTTTGGAGCACTGAACAAAGCTATTTACAATGAATATATTTTTACAAAAATAGATCTTTAACTTAAAAAAAACATATAAAAGAAATCATAGAGATTAAGTCTGCAAGAGTTAAATTCTAGTCCCAGAAGATTTGGGAAGAATACAGTCACAAGTAAACACAGTCTGTGATGCACAAGTATCTGCAAGAAAACTTGTTATTCTAGAACAATATTGATTGCAAATATACAAAGTTAGGGGACATGAGAAATCAAAGAAGGGGAGGATGAAGAAAGGTTCAGTAAGGGAAGCACAAGCAAGAGTTTCCTAGAGCTTCACTTACTGCAAATTAACTGAAGTTGTTCTTGTGCTTCTCATCATCAAGATGCCCTTGATGAAGCAGGATGTGACAGCTCCAGCTGTGGGCCCCAGTTCAGCCTGTATCCCTCAGTGCAAAACCCCAACAACCCATCACACCCTCTCTGCCCCAGATGTTCTCCTGTGCAGCACCAGAGATGCTTTAACAACAACAACCCTGTGCCAAAACCCACTGTGGGCCATAAGTGAAGAGAGCAAAATCACTGCTGAGTCCAGTGATCCTTGGCAATACTGAGAACAGCCTGTAAAGCTGCCTGCTGGCTAACAGGGATAAACCTTGACAGGCACTTTCTAGCTTTCCAAGAATCCTTGCAAAAAGGATAAAGCACTTTCATACATTTTAGAATGCCTGAACAATGCTTTGACAACTGTAACTTGTAAAAAGACTCCTTAACCTAGTTAGAAGACATTGAGGGGGGGGAACACTGTTTATCAAGAAGACAGCAATTACAACGACATCTCTGAGGAGGCAGGACCCACTAATTAATTCTCCTGTTGGAACTGTTCCAGTGCAAGTGGCAGGCTTGTTTCAGTAATGTGTTCATTTCTATTTCCCAATCATGGATTGAAGGTGTTCAAGTTTATACTCTTGAATGAAGTCTTCAACCACACGCAGAGCTTTGACTTTCACCAGCAGGAGAAGGACCTCTTTTGCTTCAGCACTAGAAAGAAAACCAAAGAGTACTTTTATGTACCTGACTTAAGCACACTCAATGTTTATTGTCTTAGAAAGAATCAATTAACTCTCCTTGGCCTCTTGGCATCAGGTGAGCTTGGGTACACTGATCCCCAACATCCAGCACCTCAAATTATCCCATGAAACTACGACTCCTTGACATTAGAGTCTCCACCTTTTGTTTTATGTAGATACGTGACAAGAACATCCTTGAAAGCACCAAATCTATGAGGCTTAAGGAATTTAAGAGATATTTAACACAAAGTGTTCAAGGAAGTGCTTGAACCCCAAGAAAAGCCTCATCTGTTACCTGTGGTTATTCTTCTGCAGCGTATGGGCACACTTCAGTAAGTGCTGGCAGAAGTTCAGTAGCTCAGGGAGGGTTGATCCACTTTTAAGATCCTGGAACCACCTTTCTGGGAGGCATGCCACCACCTGCTCACAACAATGAATATTTGGAAAAAGTTTTAAAAGGGAAGTCTTACAATATAACCAACTCCCATCACTTCCGGCAGGGACTTTTTGGGTAGGTTCAGTCATTATTAATAGTGTGGTTTTTCTTAGAAACCAAGATTGATTATCCCTGCAAGCAGTTAGCCTTAAAAACTTAGGGCCTAATACTTTCTCTAAAATGCTTTTATGCACCAAGGTCATTCATACAAAACCAGATTTTCAATGTTTAGATTTTAACTGCTCTTCAGGTTTGACACCTCTTGGGGGAGGGGGAAAGCTTTAGTATAAACCCCCTTCCAGTGTAGACATTTCCTTTACCTTACTGCACTTCTCTGTACTGCCCAGCCCTGGTGGTGTGTTGGAGAGGTTCAGGAGGAGGTAACGATTCAGCAGCTTGCCCAGGGCCAGCTCATGCACCACACCTTCCTGTACAAGCCCATCCCAAAGCAGAACGTTGGAGAGCAGCTGCAGGAATGGAGAAACACAACACCTGTATCTGGTGGCTGGCAGTGTGCTAACACACAGTGTTACAAAGGTTTATGTAACAAAGCTAAAAATGCATCCCCAGTGGCCAGGGACACCTTCACCAACCTCTGAGGACTGAAAGGCTCGTGTTCTTTTTGTGTTTGTGGTCTAGACTATAACTTTTTATTAGTGCAGTGATACTGCCAACAAAATGTTAAGATTTGACCCAATCTGCAAAGTGATTAGGAACTAAGCTAAGCTGTGCTGTAAATTGGGCCACACTATATATAAAACTGTGGTGCACTGGTCCTGATCATACAAATCCTGTGCTATTCTGATCATAAAATGCTATGCCTATCATAACATTCTTTTTTTTTTTTAATAAAATCTTTAATCATACCTATGACTCAGTGCCACCATCATTCTGCCCGGGATCCCCAAAAGAACCCCTCTCTGCCTGCAGTGTTTGGCACAGTGACTAAATAACATGATGTAAAGCCAACAGGCCTGGCTGACCCACCCAAGGGAGAAAAAATGAACCAGCAGGAACAGATGGTGAGATCAAAGCCTCCTGCAGAAGATGTACCAGCTGGGTGAACAGAAATAGTGTTCATTTCTAGTTCATTCTGAAATCAGCACACACAGGTTGCACAGGGAACACATCCATGGCTAACCCATCCTAATAAAGATATATTAAGTTCCAAAGAATCCATCTTGCCTGAAGATACATCTCCTGCCTGACTGCCAATTATCTTTTTTGCTAAAATCAATTTCAAATGAAAGAAAAGAGCTGTATTTTCTCTACCTTAAGAGCTGACCAAAACCGTCTTTCTTGAAATTTTGACTGTAGTGATGACTTGTCTTCCACAGTGCTGGTGATGAAAAGAAGATACAAAGTTAAAATGAGTTGGTTGGGGCTTTTTAACTTAAAAGCAGATAGACAACTGATCTCTTAGTTACTGATGAATGTTAATTCCAGAATTTTTTGAGCAGTGACAGCCAGTGAGACTAAAGATCCAGGGAAACAGGGGTCAATTTGAACTCACTATAATGCAACTATAAAATAATTTGCAATAAAATTACCAATTAGAAATGCCCTTGTCTGCCTTCTATGGGTTCAGATCAAACCAGCTCTGCCTAGAACCACACATCCTACAGCAGCTTTAGCAAAGCTCCCCTCCTAGCTGTATTGTAACCCCACATCTCCCAGACTCCTCCTCACTCTCATCTTTAAGTGTCCAGCAACCACCATCAACAATAAACCTCCTTTTTTAGGGTTGCCAGGGGGAAATTGGGGGACACAGGCATGTGACACCAGAGCACCTAAGCTAACAAGTGCTCAGCTATAATTTCCTGTGCTAAAAACCAGACTATGGACCTAGCATATTGAAAAGCTTTCAGTTACAAGAACAAAAAAGCATTGTCAGTGGAGTTACCCTGATTAGAAAGGGTTCATAAACAGGAGTAAAGCTTCATAACCCTTCCTGTAATAAAACAATGAGTTTTATTACATGTTTGTAATTATTTTTTGTTTTCTTACATGTTAAGCATGTTTGTCCCATTAGCTATTAATTGATATCTTCAACATTTCACTTATATCTAAGGGGGAGAAGGGTAGAAGAATGAAAAGAAAAAGTTTAACAGTCTGAGTCAGCTTACCTTTTAGAATATAGAGGAATAAAGACATCATCTTCTATAGATTTCTTCATTCTTAGGACAACCATGTTCAGCAAATCCTATTAAAAAAGCTAATTATTAATGTATCCTCACAAGAAAGGCTTTATCTTCCATTTGTAACAACTTCAGTGGTTATTTTGTTCATCTCCAAGTGTCGTATGTTAGAGGTAGGTACAAGCACCACTAGTACAACACACACTGAGAACATGAATAAAGGAGACAAATCACAGCTGTAATTATCTAGAAGATTAAGCTAGAGCATTTTTAAGATGAGGATTTCATAGGAGGCCTTAATTTGCACATTAGTTTGCCAGGCAGCAGGAAAACCATACAGATTAGCAACAAAATCAGTTATGCACATAGGATCTTCATAACATTCCATGGTAAAAAAAAATCACCCTAAGATAGGATGCAGTCTTAGGCAACATGCTTTCAGGTTTTTTAAAAGCTTTTTTAAAGTTCTGGTTTACTGAACTTTCTGTACTAATGGTATCTGGGTTAAAAGTAAATTGTACCACTTGAAGTCAAGTCATGGTTTCAAACCAGCAACATTTAGAATGCTCAGTTGGAAGGCATGAACATATTCTTAGAAATATTTCTTTTCATACTCAGGACCTAAACATTCATCCCATTTCCCTAGTTCTATAGCAGTAATTTATTACTTATCATTTATTTAATTATTCATTACTATTTATTACTAGTTTTATAATAGTTGTTAAAATAGGTTATGTAGTCTCTCCTAAAGCAATTAACTAACCTTTAGGCATTTTCAAATTTTAAAATTCTAGATCTGCTTTATAAATAAAAGCCTAAGGAGTTGACCTTAAGGGGGGGCATTATTAGCCCATGAAGCTCAAATTTTGAAAGATAATTAAATAAAAATTTAAATCCTAACCACTGTTATTGCAGTGAGGCTAGATTAGGTCTACAGTCAGATTCTTGATAGGTACAGGCAGAATTTTTCCAGTACAGGAGCTAACTCCTGCCTGAGGATTGTCCCATCTCCCATCATCTTCAATAAAGGAGAGCATCAGAGAGGTGGAAGTTTAGCTGTTCAACTTTACACTGAAGTGACAGAACAAGTAATCAGAGCCAAACAGCTTCAGGACAATGTCCTAAGTGCCCACAGAAGCATGCACAGGGAGCACACACAGCAGATGAAGTTCTCCCTCCCCCCATACCACAGGAGCTTTTACCTCTTTTGCTGCACTGTGTTCATTTTTGGAAAGGCAGTGCTTTTCAAAGATGTTACTGCAGAGCTGCACAAGGTTCTTGGTCTGGGAAGTGGATAAAGGATCCCACACATTCTTTATAAATGCTGAAAAAAAAAACACAGAGGACTTTATTTCATCTACAATATGTAAGCAGCTATCCACTCTAGTTTCAGGGCATTACAACTACAGAAGTAAAGGTATAAAAAGCTAAGCCACCCAAAATGATCTTAAAAGAGGGTACACCTTAGTTTCACTGTGTGGAACTACAGAACCACTACATCTGGGAGCACTCTGATAGAACTAACACTGTTTGACAGCTAGTTCTTTTATTTAAGATCTGATTGCCTAGCTGCAGAGAACATTTTCAATACCATCTTACCATACCTGTAATTTTGGGAAGAATTGTTTTTTCAATCACTCTAGGCAGAACTTCTTGATTGGGGTTATCATCCCTTTTTGATTCAGACTCTGTTTTGGCACCACTGAATTCTTCTATTGCTCTGAACCAGGGCATCTCTTCTAAAGCTGTGAAATTCTGCTGAAAGATCATTCCTGTTAGTTGCTCAGCTGGTCAGGATTACAAGAAAAGCTCCATCCAACAATACCACAGAGTCCCACTTGATTTCAGATACAGCCTCATTGTTCAACCAGCCAGAACACTGAACCAGGTAAATGAGATTTAAAGCTAGGACTTGAACAGGGGGACATTCTTAAAGACTCTTCCAAGAACCCAGGAGAGGAATTCTTCTCACAGGGGTGTTGCAAGAGGCTGGAGGTAAGTTAAAAAGATTCCAACAGCACACTTCAGTTTGAGACCAAGATAATATCATTATATTAATTTCTAATGCACTCTGCTAGGTACAGAAAAGCCATCTAATTTTTCATATTAATACATCATATCCAAACACACAGTTTTTGAAGAAAAAGTCAGTTGATTGACCTACCTCAAGTGGATTCCAATTTATTAACTGAGCTCTGATCAATGGATTTAATAGCTTTGGCAGGCAGAGGCTGATATAAGCATCACAGTAAGAGTCAGGAAACTTCTCTTTCCATTCCTGGAATTTCAACAGGATTTTTCTGATGTCACAAAAATCTGCATGTACATCTTCAAAGATTTTCCTACTATCCTCTAAAATGTTATCTAGGGATAATATTCATTGGGAATAAAAAGAAACAATCACAGAACTTATTGAGGCATAAGCTGAAGAGTTTACACAATTACAGGACATACATATCTACATGATAATTGCATTTATTTATCTTGGACACACCTGACCCTGGAACAGGTTCTAAAAGCAGCTCCCTGAAAACCTGAGTTTCAGAAAAAATACTGTCAGAAGATCAAAAAAAAGGCAAGTTTCTTCAGGATCTGTTCCACAGACTTATCCAGCCATTGTGTTCAAAACTTCATATCACAGTGATATTATTTCAGACTTGAAAACCATCCTGCTGTTATGTGGAGAAAAGGAATCAAACATACCCTCCCCTGCTCATCTTCATCCCTTCATGCAAGGTAATTAAAAACACCAACCTTTAATTTAGTCTGTTTTCAGAAAACAAATTGATTAGACAAAACACATTGGACTAATGTGTTGAGTACTGTCAGATCAGCTCTGGCATGATCTAAAAGATCTTACTTCTCATTGAAATAGTCACACATAATGCCATCACCCTATAACTTGTACCAAAAGAAACCTACACCCATACACCTATTTGTCCCAAGTTGTTAGTTAGAACTGTCTAAATGCATTTCTTTTCTACACCATGCAACCAAGTATCTCTTCACCTTTCCCAAAAATCATTGAAAAAAACATCAGTGAGAGATTTTGTTCTAGGCCATCCCAGGAAGACTGCCACCAACCTTGCTTCTTCTGGAACTCATCTGCCTCTGCTGGTGTCAGCTCCTCATCACTTGACATGCCATCGTGGTGATCAGCCTCTCCTGAACTCTCTCTCACCTGCTGCCTGCAAGTCCTGTATTTTGTAATGAACTCAGATGAGTTACTGGCTCCAGGTTTGCAGAAAGAAGCTTACTGAAAAATAACCTGACTTCAAAAAAAAATGTACTAGAGGCAAGTTGCAAGAGCCTAAGGAAATGCAATCAAGGACCAATGCTAATTAGGTAACAACAAGGACAGGGAAGCTGGGGAAGAGGGAAAATCCTTGGGAGCTGATATGAAAGAGGTTAGAACCCTACAAACCATGTAACACCCTTCACTTGGCCTCATTCCCACTGACATGCTAACAACTCATCCCCTGCTTGGAACACTAAACATCTTCCATGGTTTGGAAAACTTCCATAACTTTGGAAAAAAACAAGTAGGAGTCTCTGAGCACTGTAGTATCCAGAACATGGTACCTGGCCACCACCCTCAGCAGCAACAATACTGCCTGACTTTTTTTGCCATCTACACAATAATACAAAAATATACTTCTGTAGAAGGTCATAATTTTATTACCCCAGGACAGAAAAAATTTGTCATATAGTTCTATAAATAGCCTCATTTAAGAGAACAAGATCTATTAGCATTCAGACTCAAGTCAAGATGGAAAGAAGATCATTAAAAAAAGATGGTTCCCAAGTACTTTGAATTTTGGAAAGCAAATACCTGTTTTTTTTTTTGTATAATTTCCTTTAGTATCCTACAGGTTTACATTCACCACTGCACAAGTGACAGAAAGCCAGAGTGCTGCAGATTTACCAGAGTTAAGGGTACATATACAGAATACCTACCTTCTATTTTCACACATTTCCAGAAGCTGTGTCTTCTCAGCACCCTCCAGTCCACCATTAGCTGGTTTGGCTTTCCCACCTACCAGAAGACACAAACAGAAATAAAACAGTGTGATTTTTAAGTTCCAATTTTCCCTTTAAAAAAAATCATTCAAAATCAAGCCCCCTAATCAAAACTCTACCAGCCTCCAGAGTAACAGACAGTAAATATTACTTGTGAAGTGCACACAGCCAGATGGGGCTGCTCCCTCACAGCACCTGATGAAAAGGGAGTCAACACTTGCTGCTTCCCAGGCCTGCAAAAGGAACTTGGTGCCTTCCACAGGAGGCACTTAGCAGTGTGAAAGGCAAGTGTAGGGATCTCCCTTCATCTGTGTGTCAAAAATGAAACCAAGTGCTGAATTAGAATAACTTTTGAGGTTGGGTTACTGCATTGTAATGGAAGTTAAATCCCTCATTTACACTATTCAAAATAATTTCAATAATTTAGAATTCAAGACTAGTTGGCTCTCTTCTGTCTCCTGTTACCTGAGTGATCATTGTGTGACCTCAATTATCCCCTTCTGGCTCTAGAGTCCAACACTGAAGCAGAAGTTAAAAGGATTTTCTAGTTGGACCATTCATTCATATCAGTATTAGCTGGCTTGGATGTGCACAAGATGCCAAAAAAAAAGCCTGCTACTACTCCAGTATTGTCACATGAGAAAAAAACCAGCCTTTCCACTATATTACATACACTTAGAAACTTAAACAATTAAAAGCACTGTTAAACACTCAAATACAGTCTCATTTGTAGTGAGCTGTAAGTAAAATAATTTTAATGCCAACTATTGTTATGGCACTGCCCTTTTCTCCTTCACATCTGCTGTCAGCCTCTTACACCATTTCACAGAACCCTGCAGGCTCTCTAAACAGCAGCTTTTCCTGTGTGGTCAGAAGACTGAACCCATATGATGAGGAGTAGTTAGGAGAAACTGGTGCATCTGGCCTCCATCTGCTCCAAGCATATTGCTTTTAGATTTGCCTACACAGTTTTGAAAGGTTTTGTTTTGGTTTTTTAAGTAGCAGCTGAGATTCACACAGCACAGAAACAAGACACCAGTGTGGAAAGAATATACGAGATGATAAAATTGTGATATATTCTTTTCTACAATGAACAAGAAACAATTTTGCTTCAGATAAATCTCCACCCTGAGCACACACAGCCTTGAGGACACACTCGTGTAAAAGTGATGTTGCCAAGTAAACACTCTACTTGTTCATATATTCAGAGATTTGCACCATAACCAAACTGTCTCCAACCTAAAACCTACCAGAAGACTGATGTGGTTTTTCTTTTTAAATACTGATGGGAAATGGCTGAGTTGAATAACCCAAAATTGACAAGTAATTGGTCATGATATATTCACTATTAAACCAGAGAAAACCAGCATTGATGAGGTGAGGATTTCAACTGAGGTAGAGTAGAATCCACCTACTGTCAACAGGAAGGGGAAAGGAGATGAAAGGTGAAAATGATAAGCTTAATTCAAAAGTAACCACATAGTTCTGCTCAGAGTGAATGTTTCAGTAAGAAAATGCCTTCTAACTTCATACTAACTTGTCAGATGCTGAATATAAGCAGATTCATCTTCCAGCTCATCTTGCCTTTGTTTCAATACCTTCATGGCTCGTTGCTGAAGCAGTACATGTACAGCCAGTTCTAGCTCATTAATGTCTTTCAGCTGAAATACAGTAATCAGGTTTTCAATTAATAAAAATCCTAAAAAAAACAAACAAAAAACAGTTTCCACAGGTTTTTCAGTATAGCTGTGAAGTTAGGACCAAATATTACAGATTGAAAAGTACACGCCAGGTCACTGGAGTTTTTTAGGCTCTTTTGTAACCCTGAAAACCAAACTGAACATCAGTTGCTCATCACAGGAACACCTCAGACTTCTCCCAAAAGGGTTCAACAGGACACTATTGGTGCCCTTAGTTGGCTTTCAATTTGCTTTTGAGCCACTAGCCATTAAAGAAAATTATTAACTAACATTTTTTCTGTATATTTATACTAACTTGATCATCACTTCAGGTGAAGGTTCATTTGTTTTCCCTATATTTTGTTCCCCATTACATTTTTTTTTTTTCCTGAAAATTCTGGAGTTTTTTTTCAGGGAGGTGAGGGGGAGAGCAGGGTGAGGGGTGTGGGAGTGCTACAGGTGAGGTGGTGTGTGTGATGTGTGACAATTTCCAAACAAAAAACCCTCATCTTTCACTGACAGAATGCATCTTTATCAGCTAAAAGAAAAAAATAAAAAGGAAGAAGAAAATATACATACTTTTTCATTCAAACAGTTTATCAGGTTTTCTACATATGTTTTCATGGCCCTGTAGAATTTGTAGTTCAGAGCTGCATCTGAAGACTTCTCTAACTCCTGGACAGTCATCTTTGACCTCTCAATGTCCTCCATGTATTTTTCATACTCCCTCTGGTGGGCACGGTGCACATCCTGTAATGATGTTATCCTAAAAAACAAAGAAAAACAGACAACTGAAACTATTGCCAAGTTAACAGTTGATACATTTAAAAACATTTTTTCTCATTATCATCACATACAAAATCTTTGCCTGTGCTAATAATAGTACTTGCATTCCTTATCCATGACTTCTCCATGCCAACATCTGCAGAAGCTTGGGGTGCAGATAAGCATCATGCTATGGGAGACTCAAATGTCACTTCTGTGCTGCTAGTTTTGTAAACACCACTGACATTTTACCCAGATCTCCCACTGCACCATGCTTCCCAAAAACATAAAAAGCCAGATTTTGTGATACCACATCAAATGGCTTCTACCCAGCATAAGTTGGGGAAAACTACAGTTCATGTCACCCTGTCCATACTGGTTTAAGACAAGTTGCATGGATAGCAGCACCTATTGCTCACTACTAACCAGAAACCAGCTGAGGACTCTTGGGGCCAGCAGGTGATAGGACCCATGATCCTGCATCTACAGCTGGCACTGAGGTAGGTAGCACAGGAATATTTGCATATATTACAACTCTGCTTCCTCTTCCTCCCCCTTCCCTCCTTA